CCGGCAGAGCCCCGGCCCGCCGGGCTGCGGGAGGGGAGCGCCGGCACCTCCCAGCCTCCTCCCGCCCCGACACTCGCCTCCTCGCAAATGCGAAATCACGCCCAAATTGAGACCTGCCCGCCCCACGACAGCGCTGGCAAGCGGGGAGGTCATTGCCAAGGGAGCGGAGGAGCCGCGCTGACAGGTCCCTGCTGCGGTCACGGAGAGGTGTGGCAGTCGCATCCGAGCTCTCAGGAACCGCGCTGAGTTAGGGCAACGAAAGGAACCTCCACGCCCCAGAAAGGTACCCGCCTTTAAGCAGTCCCTTTAACATACACACCCACTTGCGGTGCTAAAAAAAAACCAAAAACATAAAAAAAACCCAAAAAACAACAGCCTTTAGAAAGCGTTTTCGCAGGGAATGTAAACTTTTATTTTTCCAAGTCCTAGTGTAAAACCACGGTCGGAAGTTTAGCGTCCCATCCACTCCACAGACGAACGTCCCGCCCAGATAGTGGCGAATAGTTGTCTCTGCTGCAGGCACCGAGCTCGGTGCCGGAGTGTATCAGCCCTTTTGGGGACAATAGTGGGTGGCTCTTAAAAGAGCCGTTGGGTTTAAAAGTATTTCCACTTCAACACTTCATTTCTTGGGAGCCGCCTTCTTTGCCTTGGCCGCTTTCGGCTTGGCCGCCTTGGGCTTGGCCGCTTTGGGCTTCACCGCCTTCGCCTTAGCCGGGCTCTTCGCTGCTGCCGCCGCTTTTTTGGGCTTGGCAGCCTTTGTCGCCTTCTTGGGGCTCTTGGCCGCTTTCTTGGCAGCTGCAGCCGCCGGCTTCTTCGCCTTCTTGGGGCTCTTCTTCACCGCCGCCGCCTTCTTGGGCTTCTTGGCAGCGCTGGCGGGCTTCTTAGCCGCCGGCTTCTTGGGCTTGGCCGCAGCTGTTCTCTTCCTGGGGGCTTTTTCCTTCACTTCCCCGGGTTTCTTGCTGAGGCGGAAGGAGCCGGAGGCGCCGGTGCCCTTGGTCTGCACCAGGGTGCCCTTGCTGACGAGGCTCTTGAGCCCCAGCTTGATGCGGCTGTTGTTCTTCTCCACATCGTAGCCGCCGGCGGCCAGCGCCTT